CTGAAGAAGTGAGGTTCTGACCCACGAAAGCTTATGCTCCCAGTACTTCTGTTAGTCTCAAAGGTGCCACAGGACCCTCTGTTGCTTTTTACAGATTCAGACTAACACGGCTACCCCTCTGATACATATCTCTCTAGTTATACACCGCTGCCCATCACGGTGGTGTCTGAGCGCCTTCCACGTCGAACCAATAGTGCAGTCCCTAGTGGATTTCAGGACATCTCTGTCTCTCCTCTGTATAATACCTGTATTTTTGTAATGCCTCTCTTATGTACGAGATCACAAATAATCTATATAGAGTCTGTGTATAAATATAGATTAATCTATACAAACCCACCTACAGAATCTGTGAGGAAGCCTGGGTTATACATCTGTAGAAAGCCACACAACTGTACACATTATGTTTTGGTGATTTACCTAGCTTATGTAGGCGATCATAAAAAAAATCTAAATAATACAGAAATTGCAAATGCATGTTCCTATATTTGTGTGATTTCTCTCTTATACAGAACTCACAAAAATCTATATAGAATATATACAAATCTAAATATATAAATCACACACGTATTCACCTCGCTGCCTTTTTTATATGTTAGGTTGAAAAAAAAGTATAACTATCCAAGCTATGAGAATGTCATAACCTTTCACACTTGATAAGGGGACACTTAATTCGCAGCAGAGCTGAAAGGTGGTTTAAACTGGACTTATCCGTTTTAAAATCATTCCTGTCCGACCAATAATGATCCCAAAGGAGCCCATAACGTGAGATTTTTTTTAAATAAGCCTTGTGCGCAATATTAATAGCTTCTAAATATTCTTAACCCTCTGTAGCTCTGTTCTGGAAAATGCAGATGTTGCAACCAAACCCCCTCCCTTTCTATTCACAATGATTTCAACTGAAACAATTACAAAAATAAATACCGGCGGCCCTTGGACAAAGGAAAAACTCTCCAATAGTCCCCCGGTAAATAGATTAATTGGGGGGGGGCATTTTAGCCCTTTTTGTGAATGGATCTCACACGTAGGGAAATTGAAACAGATTTAAGTAAGTGTGTTCAAATAGGCATCTTAATAATAAAATACAATAAAAAATAATAATAATCAGAGGCGAGCAAGGGGGAGTCCGGGCTACAAACACAGGGACCCAGAGAAATCGGTTCGTGGTTGTCAATTTTCTCAAAGGATCTTAAAAGCTCCCGTTGCAAAGGAGGGTTGGGGATTTCCATTATGATCAGAAGCTGCGGTGTCCTTCTCTCCAGCTGGAGAACTCCGAGTTCCGTGGAACATTTCTGACTATTTACCCTCTTTTCCTCAAAGAGACATCATTAAAGTAATCAGTGCAGGGCGCAGCAATCTAACAAGCCAGCGTAAAAGAGATAGATTAACTAGAGAGAGAGATTGGGGAGACTGGTTGTTTAATGAAGAGTGAGGAGGAATTTAGGATTTGGTGGGCGGGGTGGGGTGGACACACTCCACAAATATGTGTGTCCCATCCCCACCCCCAAATCTCAGCAGGTGCGCTCTGGGGAAGTGGATAATCTGCAGGGAGGGGGAGAGGTTTAAGGGCT